TGATGAAGAGGTACGGCGCACGACAAAAAAATTGAAGCAAAAGCATGCGAATTCAAAAATTTAACTCATTGATTTTCTAAAATTCGCGATATTTTTCAACAATTTTCTCAAATGTACCTTTAAATTGTTCTATTATTATGTATTTAGATTTCGGACGTAATATTTGAAGTACTAATAGAAATATAGTGATTTTTCTCTAATGCGATTCCCGTGAAAACGACTGTGAAAATGACGTCTCCTGAATTGACGGCGCACCACACTTTTGTTAAAATATGTGTAATGCTCGAGATATCGGCAGCATAGATCCAAAATATGCATAATAAAACATGTAGTAAACTAGGCTGCTCGTGACATTCGCCCACAAATATCAAATTGAAATTTTAGACAGTTAGACCTCTGTAAAAAGGCTATACGGGAGGACGGGAAGAATATTATAGACGAAAAGTTAACTTTATCCGGACTGTAAAGAACGTGATTGAGAGTCACCAATATCACATTATATCTCATAAGTAGTTTTTGGTTTTAAATAAAAAAAAAAGAATATTCTTTACTTGTTTAATAGATTTTAAGCTTTACAAGAAATGGTGTTTTGATGTTGAATAGATAAGGTAACTCAAACTATACATGTACGCAAGGGAAAAAGGTTGAGAAAATGAAAGCTAAATCACATATTTTTTATAATGCTTGAGACGTCGAAGATTTTGCTGCGCCGTGACTTAATGGTATGTCCTGAAAATTACTCAAAATTAATACCAATTTACAACATTTCAATGTGAAATTTTGAAGACCATATAAGTAAAGATTCTTTTACATTATTTGTGAAATTTTGCCCGATTATGTCGTCAAATATTTCTTCTCTGCAACAAGTCCGCGTAATTTTTGAACGGCCCTCGTATAACCCATTACTCATGGACACAAACTCTGACTACATAAAACATAGACAATATGTTACCCATTGTTCTTGGACACAAACCCTGACCACATAAAACACAATGTATAACCCATTACTCATGGACACAAACTCTGACTACATAAAACACCGAGAGTATGTTACCCATTGTTCATGGACACAAACTCTGACCAGACAAAACACAAACAATGTATAACCTATTGTTCTTGGACAAAAACTTTGACCAGATAAAACATAGATAATGTGTTACCATTTGTTCATGGACACAAACTCTGACCACATAAAACATAGACAATATGTTACCCATTGTTCTTGGACACAAACCCTGACCACATAAAACACAAACAATGTATAACCCATTGTTCTTGGACACAAACTCTGACCACATAAAACACAAACAATGTATAACCTATTGTTCTTGGACACAAACTCTGACCACATAAAACACAAACAATGTATAACCTATTGTTCTTGGACACAAACTCTGACCACATAAAACACAAACAATGTATAACCCATTGTTCTTGGACACAAACTCTGACCACATAAAACACAAACAATGTATAACCCATTGTTCTTGGACACAAACTCTGACCACATAAAACACAAACAATGTATAACCTATTGTTCTTGGACACAAAGTTTGACCAGATAAAACATAGACAATGTATAACCAATTACTCATGGACACAAACTCTGACCACATAAAGTTTGTGACAATATGTTTGTGACACAGACAATATGTTACCCATTGTTCATGGACACAAACCCTGACCACATAAAACACAAACAATGTATAACCCATTACTTATGGACACAAACTCTGACCACATAAAACACAAACAATGTACGAGGGTTGTCCGTAAAGTTCGAGGACAAGCTCAAATTTAAAGAAAGATGGTGTCATTGATATTTATTATTTACATATTTACAATCCTTTACTAAATATCAGTTACAAAATGTAAAATAATATTCAATTTCAAATTAATAATTATAATAATGGCTTCATTATCAGACTTGGGATGGTGACCCGGAGCACCGCAAAATTTTAATTAAAAAGTTAAATATCACTTTATAAATTTCATTTTTATTTTGTAAAATTCTGTGGATATTCGGATTGCTTTTACATTACGAGGTTGACAAAAGTTATAACTACAAACCTGCAAAATTTGAATGTTCAGAGTTCAGAAGTGGCTGAGAAATCTAGGTTAGAATGTATTAAGACAAGATCGGCTTTGTTCGAAAAAGGGACGTTTTCGGAATAGGCGGAGCAGTGAGCAGTGATAAAATTCTGCGTAGACATCGGAAAAACACCAACAGAGACCCCTAAATGCTGTAAACAGTCAGGAAAATATGGTATAGAAAGCAGTTCATAAGTATTTAGTTGAAAATAAAATTTTCAGACGGAAGGAACAGATTACAGGATGACATGCGTGAAGGAAAACCATCATTCCGAGACTGCGGTGCTGTAAAAAGTTAATTTCGTAATGTGACTTTGTCGTATTTCCTTACATATTGTCGTTTTACGCGGATAGAGGTAGGATGATTGCAAGTAATGACACGGGCATTGTTAAATATTATTTTTATATTAAATTTTACATATGAAACCTAAACATTTTGTGCACATTTTTATGACTGGATAAAGCGACATAAGAAATGTATTGAGTTAAAAGTGACTATGTTGAAAAAAGTTACATGTACTCGTATTAAGCTTTTGATGTCAGTAACGTCAAGGATTTTCGTTTTAGTGCTCCGGATGAGTGTGTGTCTTTTTTGTATCTGATAAAAATATGACTATTTGTGCTTTGTTTTTGTTGAAAACTTGCATATTAATAAAATGAAACATGAATTTAGTAAAAATAATAGTTTCATATATTTTATCAAGGTTTATCAGCAATTATCAATGTTGTCCACGAACTTTACGGACAACCCTCGTATAACCCATTGTTCTTGGACACAAACTTTGACCAGATAAAACATAGACAATGTATAACCCATTGTTCATGGACACAAACCCTGACCACATAAAACACAGACAATGTGTAACCCATTCTTCATGGACAAAAACTCTGACTACATAAAACGTAGAAAATATGTTACCCATTGTTCTTGCACACAAACTCTGACTACATAAAACCTACACAATGTATAACCCATCACCAATGGACACAAACTCGGACTACATAAAACACAGACAATATGTAACCGTTTGTTTATGGACACAAACTCTGACCACATAAAACACAGACAATATGTAACCGTTTGTTTACGGACACAAACTCTTACCACATAAAACACAGACAATGTGTAACCCATTGTTCTTGGAATCAAACTCTGACTACATAAAACACAGACAATATGTAACCCATTGTTCATGGACACAAACTCTGACCACATAAAACACAGACGATGTGTAACCCATTCTTCATGGACAAAAACTCTGACCACATAAAACATGAACAATATGTTATACATCGTCCATTGATACAACATCTGACCACATATAACACAGATAATGTGTTACCTATTGTTCTTGGACACAAACTCTGTCCACATAAAACACAGAAAATGTTAATTTCATTACACATGGACACAAACTCTGACCACATAAAACACAGACAATATGTAACCCATTGTTCATGGACACAAATTCTGATCTCATAAAACAAAGACAATGTATAATCCATTACAAATAGACACAAACTCTGACCACATAAAACATAGACATTGTGCAACCCATTATTCTTTACTTTTACACAAACTCAGACCACATAAAACACAGACAGTATGTTACCCCATTGTTCATGGACACAAACTCTGACCACATAAAACACAGAGAGTATGTAACCCATTGTTTATGGACACAAACGTTACAATTTACGCAAGGACACAAACTCTGACTACATAAAACATAGACAATGTGTAACCCATTACCCTTGGACACAAACTCTGACCAAATAAAACACAGACAATGTGTAACCCATTACCCATGGACACAAACTCTGACCACATATGTTACCCATTGTTCATGGACACAAACTCTGACCACATAAAACATGAACAATATGTAACGTATCATTCATTGACACAAACTCTGACCACATATAACACAGATAATGTGTTACCAATTGTTCATCAACACAAACTCTGACCACATAAAAAACAAAAAATGTATATTTCATTACACATGGACACAAACTCTGACCACATAAAACAGAGACAATATGTAACCCATTGTTCATGGAAATAAACTCTGACCACATAAAACACAGACAATGTGCAACTCATTAGCCATGGACACAAACTGTGACCACATAAAACACAGACAATGTGTAACCCATTACCCATGGACACAAACTCTGACCACATATGTTACCCATTGTTTATGGACACAAACTCTGACCAACTAAAACATGAACAATATGTTACCCATCAATCATTGACACAAACTCTGACCACATATAACACAGATAATGTGTTACCAATTGTTCATGGACACAAACAAGGTCCAAGGAAAGGTCAAGGTCAAAAATGTTGATGCAGTTGAATAGCATACATCAGAATGTATCAACATATGAAGTTTGATTACAGTAACTTGAATGGTATCTTTAAATCTGAGCTAAACTCTAATTTAAGAAAAGTGAGGTCAAGGTCAAAGGAAACGTCAAGGTCAAAAAATGTTGATGCAGTTGCATAGCTCTCATCAATATCTATCAGCATCTGAAGTTTGATAAAAATATCTTGGATAGTTTCTTGAAACTCAGCTTTGAACAGAGCTTAAACTAAAGTAAGAAGGAAGGACAGATGGAAGGACGGAAGTCGGACATGACAAACACTATATGCCCCGGCCATATTCATGGCAGGGCATAACAAACAATGTGTAACCCATTACCCATGGACACAGTCTGACCACATAAAACACAGACAATGTGTAACCCATTACCCTTTGACACAAAGTCAGACCACACATAAAACAGACAGTATGTATTTCCATTATTCATGGACACTATGCATGAATTAACTGCATTTTGAATCAAATTAAAGATAAAAAAAGATTCTGTTAACTTTAACTATTTCTTTTATTGAAGCTTAAGATTTGCTTTTAAGTGATAACATAAGAAATATGTCTTTTCAAACACACACACAAAATTAAAACAAAATTTGGTTTCATCTCAAAAGTACAGAGTTCAACTTTACACCACCATTTTTTTCCTTAACAGATTACAACAGTACATGTTAGAGTTTTTCATAGATATTATGGAATTGGAAAAGGAATTCCTAAATAAGAATACTGTTAAAATGAGACTGTAAATCTGTGAGCCAATGCTCACTAGTAATACCCCCGCTCTGATGTAAATAAACAACTATTATGCTAATTTACACAAGTTTAATTACAGGCAGATGCACAGAAAAATTTGAAGTTGACATCAGATTCATTTCAAAATTAATCCCACCATATGGCATGCCTCAACAAAGAGTGTACTAAAATTAAGCATCTGCTATTAATAGTAAACGAGAAACACAGACAAACAGGAAGTTGACATTGGATTTTGTGTTAAAATTTCAAGCATCTGCGATAAGTAGTTGCCAAGAAAACAAGCATCTACAATAAGTAGTTGCTGAGAAAACTGGGACAAAAATGTGTTATGTATGAAACGGACAGACCCACAGACAAACAGGAAGTTGACATCAAATATGAATAAAAATGAATTCAACCATATGGCATGCCTAGGAAAAAGATTGTGTTAAAATTTCAAGCATCTGCAATGAGTAGTTGCTGAGAAAACTGCGACAAAAATTTGTTATGTATGAATCGGACAGACGTACAAACAAACAGGAAGTTGACATCAGATTTTAACAAAAATGTATCCCAACGTATGGCATGCCTCAGAGAAGATTGTTTTAAAATTTCAAGCATCTGTAATGAGTAGTTGCTGAGAAAACTGCGACGAAAATTTGTTATGGATGAAATGGACAGATACACAGAAAAACAGGAAGTTGATATAAGATTTTAACAAAAATGTATCCCAACGTATGGCATGCCTCAGAGAATACCGTGTTAAAATTTCAAGCATCTGCGATGAGTAGTTGCTGAGAAAACTGTGACGAAAATTTGTAATGTATGAATCGGACAGACGTACAAACAAACAGGAAGTTGACATCGGATTTAAACAAAAATGTATCCTAATGTATGGCATGCCTCAGAGAAGATTGTGTTAAAATTTCAAGCATCTGTGATGAGTAGTTTCTGAGAAAACTGCGACGAAAATTTGTTATGGACGGACACACAGCTACACGGACACACGGACGGACGGACAGACACACAAGGGTAAAACAGTATACCCCCCTCTCCTTCGGAGCGGGGGTATAATAAGACTGATTTGACAGTTCTATCTAACAACAAAAGCTATCAGCTTAATACTTGAAACTATTTATACAAACAAAATCCTACCGGACTCTATGCTTTATAATCTATAAGCTCATTTTTCAAAATGCATCAAGTAGGACACTTTTTTCTTAATAGTCTCCCACTTTCTTCTTTGCAAAACACCATTCTTCTCTTTACTCTTGCGAATACTTTCTTTACATTCCTCCCTTCCTGGGCATTTCCTTGCAGAGGACCCGTCTAAGTAGCTACTGAAATATTCTCTAACCTCTTCCAGCTCCCTGCTGGTCCACTTCACTCTATCAGCTAAAAATATAGTCAAAGTTTCAAAGAAGAGTTGTTTGTATCAGAATTTAAAAGGTCAGTCAACAATTCTGAGCAAAGCATGATTGATTGATGGTCCTCCAATGAAAAGAATGAAATATGCAAGTGATCTACTGTACATTGTATATTGTGAAGAGTAAATTTAAAGTAAAACAAGGTAGAGGCCCTACAGTCCAGAATTGCTCTTCTGATAAACTGCACAACACTGTTAGTGTGACCTATATTTGGAACACCAGGCAGAGGCATCAGCTAACAGGGATTGAACTTTGATGTACCTCAACCTTACAGTATCAAAGCTACAAATATTTATGAATAATGATAAAAAGAGCGATATATGTTAAGTGTCTCAATTGGCCCCTTAAAATGATTAATTTAATTTAACTTTATATATAGCTTTAATTTGTACAGATATATATGCGACCTTTAATGGCCATTTTTATTTTGATCAAAATGCTATTATTTTAGAAATATGACATCATAAAAATCACGTTTTCCCGCCATTTTAGCATATTTTGTATAAATCTGCTTATTTTCAAGCAGTTTTTCTCCCAGAAATATAGAGCGCAGCCTAGAACAAGATTTATATTTTTACCAAAGATGTATCTTTTCAATACTAATTAGTGACAGAAAAATTATGTATGTTCTACACTACGCTCTATGTTTCCCATAAGAAAAAACATCAAGAAAAAGGCATATTTTTAGCTTTTTTGCTAAATAGCAAAAATAGCATTATTTCTAATGTCATTTACAGCTAGTGAGTGCATATAAATGTGAAAAATATATTGGAAATATTTCTAATATAATCTCTTCTACAAAATAAATTTCAATTAAACATATCTGAATGTCATTCTAAAATGTTGATTTTTTACGGGGCCAAAATTGGCTCTTATCATATATACTCCATCCGCCACCCTGTTTTCACAACAAACATCCCTTTCAAAGTGTCAATTATCTCGATATACCACCACAGATGCATGTGACATGTAGGCCCAAAGGGCCGGGTGTTTCTATACTATTGCTGAATTTATTCAAATGCTTTTGTTTAACTTAACACATGTCACTATAATAAATAAATACTACTGCATGTGGTTAGTGAAGCGACTAATTGGTTGTCGCTATCTAGATCACCATTGTAAAGCCAGACAAGGTACATGTAATTAAAGAATTAAATAAACAATAACTTTTAACATCAACTGTAATTATTAATTTTTTAAATCATGATTTCTCAACGAAAGCGGTTATCGTTAAACTTGAGTTCGCCGACAACGATATTAGTTCAAATATCCCTACTTCATATAATGCAAAGTTTGCTTTAAAATAATGATACAGTATTAATTGTGACAGTTTCAGCATCCACAATGCCATAAACAATAAAAGTATTTACAGGAATTCATTTTACATACTATCGGCTATACATCTCAACGATCGACAAGACATATTTTTCTTAAATACCAGACGTTAAGATTTACACAGCATGTACAATCAAGTATTTATTTTATAATTGTTTATTTTGTTTTAAAACAAAATTATTGTAAGCAAAACAACTATTTGAAGAATTTACCAATTTTGAAATGTGTTTATTAATAATACTAGGAATATAAACGCTAAATGTTTTATTTCCAAATGCATAAATTTCATTGATATGTAATATAAAAAGAACAAGCACGTGTTGTTGAATCTTATTATTGTAACCCTATTATTACATGGATGTATAATGTAACAACTGGAACTAACTAGTAACTATTAACTAGTACGTAAAATGTACGAATTTCCAATGAACAACTTACCGAAACGCGACAAAGGACAAAAACATGTATTAATTTACAATTGTGAAAATGTATTTATTTTATTTTTTAATTAAGGGGCCAGTAAAAATTTTGGTGGGCCAGTAAATTTTGAAAGTTCACTGGTCGGACTGGCCAGTTAGTTTGAAAAGTTTTCGTGAAGACTGAGTTTGACCCCTGATCTTTGACCTTGTGACCTCAAAATCTGAAGGGGTCATCTACTCCTTAAGGGAAACCAATGTTTAAAGTTTGTTGCCTATCAAGCAAAGGGTTCTCAAGATATTGAGTGGTCAGTTTGACCCTTGACTTCAAAATCAATAGGGCTCATCTACCAATGTTCTTAGTTTGATGCCTCTCAAGCAAAAGGGTTCTGAAGATATGAGCTGACATTATTTTCCTACATCCAGAGCAGCTCTACCCTTGACCTTGTGACTTCAAAATGAATATGGGTCATCTACCCCTTAAGGTGAAGCAATGTTCCAAGTTTGATGTTTGTCAAGCAAAATGTTCTCAGGATATTGAGCACACAACATGTCCTTATGTCCAGAGTAGTTTGACCATTGACCTTGTGACATACAGGCTCTCAGATAACCAAAAGTAGTGCTGTATGATGTGTTATATTAGTTTCCTATACAAGAGAAAATAAGCTTATCAAAAAACTTACAAGGTTTAGCCCTTTTCCTCTGTAAAGAACATGCATCATCACCATTATCTTCAAGCAAGTTTTTCATCTCTGAAATCATACATACATATAAATCATTATATTCCAGTCCACAGCTAAGTGCCTTTAAAATATCCCAAAATTTGACATAAAAAAATGTATGCACAACAAATGTATGCACAAACATTCGGAATGTTTTTAAATAATTTCATTAAATCTAATAAGGGCTATTCCAGGGAAAAAAAAGTATGGGAGGGTTGGAAGGCACTCCTTATACTTTTTTGTGGGTAGTGGGGTGGGGACAATAGAATTCATATAAGTGGTTGTCCTCAGACAATATTTATTATAGGTGGATGCATTTACCCAAAAAAATATTCTTCTGCAAGATAATTCCTTAAATCAATACCTGTCCAATTTTCATCAAAACTTGCTCAAATTAACGTTTACAATTGAGAGTGAAACAATAGTACCTAACACACTAGAAACAAGTACAAATAACTATAAATGCACTTGTTAATACAGTGGGTCCCGTTTTATCCAAAAGTCAAGTTGTCTGCCTTATTTTATCAGAATAGCTGATTATTAGAATAGCCGATTGCTCCAGCGAGTCCAAACATCGACGTATAGAGCTACATGTATTGATAATACATTGTAGCAAATTTCAAGCCTGCAATTTCGTTTTCATTTGATTACATTACTTAGTGACTTTCTTAAAATAAATTGTTTTACTTACTTGTGAATAATATGATAACATTTTCAAATAAACTGACATATAAATAATATTATTTGATAGTTATTGCCATCTTTTTTCAGCACGTTTACATTCCTTCTTCGATAGTCTCCATTTTGGAAATGGATGTAGACTAAATTCTTGACTCTATTCTGTAAACTATTTTCCCCCGGATAGATGGTGAATGAAAAATAAACAAAAATATTAAATTGTTTCATTTTTATTTCTTTAATAAGGTTACGTATTTTATACTGTATGTGACAATTCTCTGGTCTATGGGTTTACCAGTATCGTCCTTGTCTGCTAAAGAGATATTTTAAGAGCCATGTGGAGAGAGATATGGTATGGATTTTGAGACGTATATTTATACAGGTCCTTTGTGATTTTAACCATAAAATTTGCACTTAAAAGTGAACAAATATTAAGCCAAATGACCAAGTTAAATGATTAAATAATCTAATTATGATGCTTTTCAATGTAGGGGCTGACAAATCCCATTGCCCGACGCCCGAGACTAGTGAATTTTGGGGATGGGCAAGGGATTTTTTATCAACCACTTGCCCAAGGGCAAGTGACTTTTTCAAAACAAAAAATAACTAGAACTGTCCAAACGGGACAAAATACCCCCCGCTGGGTTTTTCAGAAGTAAGTTCTTCCATAATAAAGATATGTATCAAACACGAATAATGAAATTTTTATTCCAGTGACCTTGAACTTCCCCAAATGACCTTGGGTCAAGGTCATGACACACCCTTGGGTCATGGGAAATCTTTGTGTGAAATGAAAACCTACCAAGTTTATCCATAAGAAAGATATAGACCAGACACGAATTATGAAATTTTTCTTCCAGTGACCTTGAACTTCCCCAAATGACCTAGGGTCAAGGTCATGACACACCCTTGGGTCATGGGCAATCTTTGAGTGAAATGAGAACCTACCAAGTTTATCCATAAGAAAGATATGGACCGGACATGAATTATGAAATTTTTCTTCCAGTGACCTTGAACTTCCCCAAATCACCTTGGGTCAAGGTCATGACAAACCCTTGGGTCATGGGCAATCTTTGAGTGAAATGAGAACCTACCAAGTTTATCCATAAGAAAGATATGGACCTGACACGAATTATGAAATTTTTCTTCCAGTGACCTTGAACTTCCCCAAATGACCTTGGTCAAGGTCATGACACACCCTTGGGTCATGGGCAATCTTTGTGTGAAATGAGAGCCTACCAAGTTTAACCATAAAAGATAGGTCTCAAATATGATTTATTAAAGATACGTAAAGATACGTCTCAAATATGATTTATTATATTTTTCTTACAGTGACCTTGAACTTCCTCAAATGACCTTGGGTCAAGGTCATGACACACCCTGGGGTCATAGGCAATCTTTGTGTGAAATGAGAACCTACCAAGTTTATCCATAAGAAAGATATGGACCGGACACGAATTATGAAATTTTTCTTCCAGTGACCTTGAACTTCCCCAAATGAACTTGGGTCAAGGTCATGACACACCCTTAGGTCATGAGCAATCTCAGTGTGGAGTTGTAGATTCTAATGTCCCTCTGTAAGAAAGATATGGACCGGACACGATTGCACAAACAGACGGACGGACGGACAGACAGCTGGACAGACGGACAAGGTGATTCCTACATACCCCCCCAAACTTCGTTTGCGGGGGGTATAAAAATCTTAGTTTTAAGTGGATAAGGGTACTTGAAATAATCATTTTTTGTCTTCCTACTTTTCATAGTTTAAAGTAAAAATTCAGGTGGGGCAATTGAATTTTGACCATGTACTCGTCCATGGGCAAGTACTTGAAAAATCTATTTGTCAGCCCCTGCAATGTCCAAGCAAATTGTCATACGCAAGCTAATCAGTTCAATAATTAAAATTTCATGCCGAAAAAATTGCAAACAATTGTCATAATTAAGATCCATTCTCTGTAACGACTTACGCATAGTCTCAGAATTTCTCCAAACTCTCTATGATAAAAGTTTTTGATACTGTAAACTCAAATCAGGCAGAAATTGGTTGCTATGTGTCATGGTTACTATGGCAACATCTCCTAAAGTTTGAAAAATGGAATTTTTCAACATGTTCAGAGTCCCACAGTTAACGTTTGCAGCAAAGCAAACAAGTGGCAATGATTGTTTCTGGAAGTTGAAGGCCTGATGTCTTAAATGCATGATAAACATGTTTAATAAATCAAATATTACATACGTTACTATGGAAACAAAGTATTCAAAAGTATTAATTTTGCTCATTTAATTTTAAAAAATCAGCAAAAACTCTCAGGGGCATTAACTCATAGAAGGGCTCAATGAATGCTTTTGCAATGAATAGATTGAAAAGTCACCTAAATTAGTCCAAGACATTGGTGAAGATTTGGTATCGCTACGGTTTGCGGTTTCAGAGGAGTAGCGAAAACAAGGTTTATCATTGCAAGGGGCGATAACTTTATGAGGGGTGAAAGTTCAAGTACGCAGAGTCAACTGCAATAATGCTTTGAGAAGTCCATTGTCATGAACTATATATCTTTTCGATAACTTATGCAACAAAAAATTACTCGGTGAAAAAAAAATGATAAAAATAATAACTAATAGATTAATTGTTCACAGAACAATTAGAGGTCTTTCCACCTTCTTTAATTTTTTGAAAATTTCTTTTATATTTACCTTTTCATAGTAAAATTTCGAATAAAAAGAAACCAGAAATGGCTTCAAACCTAAGAAAAATGAAAGTTTTCAACAACAACAACAAAAAAATTTAAAGTGACCTTGACCTTGAAGAAATATTCAAGGTCCAGGTTCACATTGCACTTGACTCCATGCTTCTGCGACCCTTAGTTTTTAAAGTTATCAGGTTTAATAGTATGCGCAAAGGCGTTAAAAGGTGATAACTCATGTAAGGGGTCATCGGATCCTTTCGCTCTGAATAGATTAAGTTGTGTATATAGACCCTGAAGACATTAGTAAAGGTTTTGTGCATCTGTGGTTTACAGTTTCTGAGGTGTATCAATAACAAGGGTTTTAGTGAAAGAGGCAGTAACTTTTAAAAAGGTAAATCTTAGGGGAAAAGTATAAATTATTTGATATAGTTTTAAGAGGACATATTACAGATGCAAAGATATTTAGTGTATGTTGAAAGACAAAAGAGATATAAAAAGTGCTTAATATCTCATATTTTGAATGACCTTGATCTTTGACCTTCACAAAAATTTAAAGGTCTGATATCAAAGAATCAAATGCAGTTGGTTTCATGTCTCTATGGCTTATAGTTTTGAAAATTTTTTATTATTTGTAAACATCAAAAACTTTCCAGGGTCATGTGCAAAAATCTTTCAAGGAGTACATTCTTATGGACTATTTATCTTTTCGATAAAACTTGAAACTCAAAATCACACGGCGGAAAAATAAAAAACAAGAGGCCCATGGGCCACATCGCTCACCTGAGCACATGGCTTGGTGAAAGCACAAATCGGTTCAGTATTGAAAAGATTACTTGGGGGGGGGGGGGGGGGGGGGGAGGGGGGCTTGAATTTTAAACTACCTGATGATGCTTCCATATCAATATAACAAATGGCTTTGTTGTACTTTAGTATATTTTTAAAAGAAATGTCCCATATATTCCTTTGTAAAAATTTGATCCCCCAATATTTACATTTCCAATGTCTTTGTCCGCGATAAAATTACCAATTGTAAATGTAATTTATTTCCTCATGAATGTTTTGGCGCGGTTCCAAAAAAACCACATGCAGGACGGGACAACACCTAGAGAGAAGCAGGCTTGGAGCCCGTGGATTGGCGGAATCAAAGCATGTAAATATGTGATAATGTTATGCATAAATGCCTTCGGCATTTATGCAAATTATCACACAAGCCAATCCATTGATCATCTTCATGAATTCGAAAATCTGACAGTTATTCCTTAATTGTGTAGTGGTGTTCCAATCATCGATTATAATCGAAAATCAGTCGATTGCTGACATAATCCAAGCAATCGATTGCATTTTTAAAATTCTGATTTATCTGTTATTATTTTATTTTACAAGCGTAGTAGTTTTTAACCCTAATTTTCCATCCACAGCACTGCTTTTGACTTATTTGTGTAACATAATGGTGCAGATAAACAAACTCTTGTATTTCTACCCGGATAAGAAAGCATGTTTCTGAGCATGGCGTACTTTTGGTTCTATAAAATGAACAAAGGACAAGCTGGATCAGCACAGTAAGTCGTCATTTACCCATTCTTACCATTTACTTCTTTAAATTGATATACTTTTTACATGTCCGATTATAATTCGATAATTAGTTATAGTTAGAGAAATCCAATCATCGAT